CACCCACACCTTTATCCAAAGGGCTCCATCCCTCTGGAGCTGGGGCTCACCCCACACCCACACCTTTATCCGAGGGGCTCGAGCCCCTGTGCAAGTGTCAGTTCAGCAACACAGACAGAGAATCCCCCGTGCCCACGGGTACCTGAGGGGAGGCTGATGCTGTGCTGAACCCCAGATCTTGCCCAGGGCAGGGGGCTGTGCCAGGGTCCCGCTCGGCGATGACCCCACTGGGCACAGGGAGTGTGGGGGGTGAGGGCCGTGGGTCGGTGCCACGTGCTCCCCCAAGGGAGCCTGGGCAGGAAAACAGCCCAGCCAGGAGGGTGCTCTGGGAGCTCGTTAATGATATTAATGACTAATCGCCCACTTGCCCCTGTAATTGATAAATCCAGGAGTTCAGCAGGGCTGGAGCTGCGCCCGTGGCTCCTGCCAGGTCTCATCCCAACCATACCCTGAACCCAGGCCTCCCGTCAGGTCTCATCCCAAGCTTGCCCCCTGTGAAGCCCCTTCCTGCGCTGGCAGTGGGCAGCAGAGGCCCCTGCCCTGCCCAGCCCCAGCTCCCCTGCACTCGTGTCCCTTTATCTCTCTCCAAAGGGAAATATTTTCCCAGGCTCTGCCTCCATCCATTATCATAAAGTGGCTTCACTTGGCCTGCAGTTAATAATTCACCTTTCCTTGGAAGATGGATGCTCCACGCCATTGGAGCTTAAATATTCATGGGGAAGGGAAGGCAGCAGGGCCGTGCAGGAGCTCTGGCACAGCCTCTGCCACCCGCAAAGCTCTGGTGCCCCCAGCACCTCCAGCCTCTGGCTGCTCCAGGGATTCCCGTCCTGGGGTGGAGCAGGCTCACCTGGAGCAGGCTCACCTGGAGCAGCACACAGGGAAGCTGCAGCTGTGGTTTGGAGAGGGAGATGTGCAGGAAGAACTCGGCTGGGCGCAGTTTTGGGCACTCTCAGGGTGGACGGGGCTGTGTCCAAGGGTCCCCTTGTCCCAGCCCAAGCGGGTTGGTGACACTCTGAGCCTTCTGCTCATCCAGGTCTCTTCTGGGTGTTGGGAGTGTCCAGGTCCCGTGGGATGCTGGGGAAGGGCTGTTGTGATCCAGCTGCATGGGGGTCCTGTACCCCTTCCTGGGCCAGCCCCTGCTCCACTGGGGAAAATAGAACACACTGAGCTGGAGGGACCCACCAGGATCATCCATCCAACCTCTGGCCCTGCTCAGACACCCCAACAATCCCACCCTGTCCCTCAGAGCATTGTCTAAATCCTCCTGGAGCTCTGGCAGCCTTGGTGCCATGCCCACTGCCCTGGGGAGCCTGGGCAGTGCCCAACCACCCTCTGGGGGAAGAACCTTTCCCTGAGATCCAGGGACTCG